CTCTCTCTGGTGGCGTGTCAGCATCAGAAGGATTTCACTCTTTCTTTCGGTAAAAGGCAGAAATAAAAAAAAAAGAAAAAAAAAAAAAAAAAAAAAAAAAAAAAACACGAAGAAAAGGCGAGATGGTCTAAAACCGTTAGCTGCACTCTGCATGTGACTGGAAGCAAAATATTCTTGAGCCGTGACGCGATCGTGTCAATTTCTTTATAAATCACACTTCTAACATTTTCTTGGCTCTTCATCTAATACGATACTTCCCATCTGAGATCTGTGAATTACTGCACCAGTCTAGTAAGAAGAAGAGTCATTTTCTTAATGGGTGAAGAGTTCCCTCCTGCTGTCTGCAAAAACAATTTACACTTGTATTATTGTAGATTTAAAATCATGCCCGTGCATCTTGCAAGACTGAAACATTTCAGATTTGTCAATGTTCACATTAGCAGTGGCAGAAACTGCAAAGACATTGCAGTGAAATAATAAATAAAACCGCACGTTTCTTTATCTTTAAGCTCCGTTTTGGGCTCCACCAACTCATTAAAACATATCTGGATCTTTATTATAAACAAAATCTCCCGTCCTTAAAAACTGATTTTTATTAAAACTACTTTTTAAACATCTGCAAAACCACTGAGCGCTTCCATAGAGGTAAAGAAATGGGCTCTTTAATTTGCTGCCGTCACTCCACTATGAGTGACGCAATCACATTTTTCCCATCGGATGCAAAACTGAAACTATGCTGCTCAGTAGATAAAAGCTGAGATGATTAAATCTAACATTTGAAATGGACGCTGAAGTCATAGAAGTTCGAATTCATCACTTTGTTTGTTTTTATTTATGGTTACCGTTTGCGGTGCGGAAAATGTCACGAAGGCCAACACAAACAACAGACAGCCTCAAAGTGAACAACAGACAACAACACACAAACTATATTTCAAAACAATGGACAGCGAGTTTCGCTGTATTGCAATGTTTCTGATTACTCAGTGTAAGAATTATTTTAGAGGACTTAAATTTCAGTATGTAGTTTAATAAAAAATAAAATAATATGGTGGCAGTTAATAGCTAGTTATCTCCATGAATCTAGAAAGGAGTAAACAGACACGTTCTGGAGACACTGGTTTGTGGTGGGGAAAAACCCACCAATCACTGAATACTGTGACAGCATTTAATTAATAACCCTCCCCAAAAACCAAAAAAGAAAACAAGCTCACAACCGGCACTCGATTCGAAAGCAACAGAGTCAAAAAAAGAAAAACTGTCTTCCTGCACTTTACAGTAGTGATGATAGAAAGCCCACCTGAAATTACAGGTGAATCTTTCATTGCACAATCCAAACCTCTGTCCAGTGACTCTATGACGCCAGTGTTGACAAATTAAAAGAAAACGCATCAAGTGGTTTGAAGACGTGCAAACTCGACACGGCGTTCTGTTTTTAAAAACTGAAACATGACAGAGGAGCTTTTGGTTCAGGCTGACAGAGCTTGAACCAAAGCTTGAAGCTTCGCAGACTGATAAATACAAATAAACCAAAAAAAAAAAAGTCTCCATGACAACAAAAACACCTCCATTATATTTTATGTGGTGGGATACAGAAGAAACAAATACATCCTTCATGTATGAAGCTGCACATCTTTTGTTATGCAAATCTAATTTTAGGCCTTATTCATTCATTCAAAGACATAATCATACAAGCGCTTTTTCTAAGCTAACATCCACGCACACACAAACTGGAGTGTCGGTGTGTTCAGGATACTTTGACGAGCAGCCGGGAATTGAAACACCAACCTGATTAGTAGACGACCCGCTCAACCTCCTGAGCCACATTTATACCAACAAATAATACAGTAAACTATTTTCTGTTTCACCAGGGAGAAGCACAGATCTGTACGAGGTCACTGACCTTTCTCGATAACAGAAATGGTCTCGCTCTTCGTTCAACGATGTGGTTTTCATAAGTGTTTGGCTTTATTAAACATTTATGAACATCAATGGACTCATCCGCTTTTAATTTGGAGCATTTTTCCTAATTGGGCACTTTTATTAGTGGGAGTGTGTGGATATTGATTGAATGTATACAGTCTGTGGCTACGCTAGAGGCTCTGTGAGGTTTTTAACTATATAGAATACCATTACAACCCATCTTGATTGTTGATATGTTTAAATCTGGACAGAAAGAATGAATGACTAACACTTGGTGTTGAAAACATTGCCAATCACAATATCAGATCAAACCTACAAAACCCACTATATTCCCAAGAATTCCCATCAGCATTAAGGCTATAATTTATTCACTGATGACTAACTCAACAGTTTGTATCTCCCCACATTGTCTCAAGTAAATTTTAAAGAGAGAGAAAAAAAAGACATGAAATGCCAAAACCTAAAAATTTTAAGGATCTTGACTGAACTAAAAGACACGACAGACTCGTAATTCGGTGCACGTCAACATTCACAGTGATGGTTACACGTGACGTCCTTTCCTCTCAAAGTAAACAAACTAGAATGTTATGGCTGGTAGTGAAAACAAAAATCAAACATCTGCAAACAGTTGTGTGGAGATCCTTTTCCAGCTACCTTCCTGGCCGATACAAACCGATTCTAACCGTCGCGTTCAGTCAGTACCAAAGAAATAAATAAAGACCTACACCAAAGCTGACTCAAAATGAAGTTTAGACAGGGAGAGAGAAGGGGTGGGAGGTCACATGACTGGCCCGTGATGTCAGACACCTCATTCTTCAACACAAACAGCCCTCAGTCTCCAGGTGATTGAGACCTGCCTCTGAGCCGCCGGGCTACACGCAGTAATGTCTATGACAGCTACCAGAGTGAGGACGAGTCCTCCTTTACACCACATATTGGTGGTTGCTGCTGTAGTTTGTCGTGTAGGTCTGCTGGCTGTACTGGAAGTGGTCAGTCAGGACGTGGTTCCAGCTGTGCTGCTGCTGCTGCTGCTCCGGGCTGTGGGGGAAAGGCACTGACCCGTTGGCCTGGATCTTCTCCAGCGCCGGGTTGTCAAAGGACATCAGGTCCTGTTTGGAGCCCGGCAGCAGCTTCTTCTCCTTGTTAGCGTCATACTTGGCCTGTTGGGAAAGGACAAGAGCAAAAAGATTTGAAATCAACCAGGTTTTAAATGTTGGATCACCTGAACTGACCACATAGGTCACAATGGTCAAAGAAGATAAATGAGTGCAAAAAAGGAAAGCAGCTCAAGTTGGATTGATGGTAAAACTACTGGAAGAAGTCCTTTAAGGGTGAAAGCAAAGCAGTCTGTGGACTGAAAATAAACAAGGACAGGAGTGTAAGTGGACTTGGGGGCTGGAAGAGAAGCAGATCACTTAGAGACAGTAAGTTCCAGACCCTGAACTCTAAGTGCAATGTTTGTATGTTTCTCTTACACCACGACGTAAGAAAGGTGAAATTATTTATAGCGTGTGTGTTTTGACAACAATGACATAAAACAGGCTTGCATCACATCCAATTTAAACAACAGAAGCAAGTGCATGTTGCATCGTGCCTTAATGGATTAAATGCACATCTTTATAATGAACTTTTGCTTTGGCTGACTGACCTTGTTGTAAAGGAAGACTCCGACGATAGCCGTCATCATTCCCAGGACG